AGCAAAGCTTTGGTGATGGGTTTTATGAATAAGCGGCCGCCCATTTTTTCGAGGTCAGATAAAGTTTTCAAATTGTCTAGAAATCCTGAAGTGTAGGTAGACCTAATGATTTAAGGCGGAGTTAATGGTTAAAACTAAGGGAGAGGTGATCAGTGGTGCCAGTATGAAGGCAAAACCAACGGACCGGGACCTAGAAATGGAACCCTCTCCTTCGCCTGTTGATTTCCGCACTAATTCAGCTCTCATTGGTGCTACCCTCCACAACGCTAACGCTCTCTGCTGAACGGCTAGAAGACCTGCGACGAGCGTTTGCCGCTCTGTGGGCGTGCCTCGGAGATATCGGCGCGGGCACGATCATGCTAGACCACCGTGGGCATATTCGCTGCGAATCACGCGTCGGTCCACACCCTTAAGGTCGCCTGTACTGATACTAGGTAAAATTTAACCTTCTATAAGAGTTGAGCAGGTACAATTTTGTCGGTAGACCTGGTGAATTTCGTGGTAAAATGAAGAATTTCAGGCGCAGAGTAGGTTTGCGCTTTTTCGGAGAAGTGGCATTTTTTGTTGTTGCACACAGTAGCTTAGCCTCGACCAAAGATTTGATGCAAGCCTTTTATGGAGGACGAATCTGTAAGCAAAAGGTAGTCGGGAATGCTAAAAAACGAGGGTTAATTTACAGTGATTTCTAATATTGTATATTTACACCTTCAAAATGCATCACGCCTCCGGCATAATCAAGGCCTAGCTGCAGATCCTTTTTTGTCACAACAAATGTCAACGGCAACTTTTAATTGATGCTGATGTACAGCAAGGAAAGTTAATTGATGGCATCTAGCTTCGAAAACTGTGACTGAAACAGCTTATTTGTTTCATTTTGTTTGAGGCGTGCCAGCAGTAGTAGTGACGTGAAACAAGTAAAGTAGTGGTGTTCGGCAAGGTTTGTCGGAAATACATTTTGCAGGAAATACTTGCTTTGAAGGACGAATTCACGATGGAAAAGCAACCCATTTCAAATTAACTAGGGATGGTGAGTGGTACACGAAAGAAGGAAAACCATGAGAAACGGCCCAGAACCCGAGAAATGGGACCCCTTCCTTGCCCGTTGATTTGCGCATTGATGCGACTCTCATCGCTGTGCCCTCTTCAACACTACGCTCTCTCTGCTATCTAATCACTCGCCACGTATAGACCTGCGGCGAGTGATCAGAGTCGGTGGGCGGACCCCGCCAACGCGCCAAGAGTGAGCCATGCTAGGTCGCCGAGGTCAAATTTTTCATGCCAATTGCGCGTCAGTCGCACCCTCAGGAGGTCCCCTGTCTCCTCAACTATGCAATTTTCCCGTTCTTTGAACCTTCGTTCTTAGGACTAAAGAGATAGCATACATTATACGAATTTGTATAACGAGACATACACCACTAGATGTGTTTTTGGACGCTTATCTCAAATCTGCTCTCCAAATCTGCGAAACGACTCTTTGAACGTAGTTATGAAGCGAGATAGTGCAGTGGCAGCGGTGCGGCTCAACGAACGAGAGGTCGTGAGTTCGAGTTCTTGGCGAGTTCTCACTTTTGCTTTTCTTGTGAACGTTGTTCAAGGGACTCTTATCCATGCTAAGTTATCAGCGATTGCCTATAGCACAAGTAAACAGAGCTGGCGAAGAGCTCCGAGCACTGTGCGCGTCATTTGCAAGTGACCGCCTCTGACACCCGTAGCGCACGCGTAAGGCAATTTCGTGCCAAGCAGATGCGATATTCGTGTTCAGCGCGTCGAAACACCCCTTTCAACAGCACATATTTGGATGAAAAATCTAACGATTGACGAATTGAATTCGAAAAAGTGGGGAAACTAGGCTGAATACATATTGACCATCGACCCAAATCTGTTAGAAGCGCCCTGATCAGTATTGTATTGGCCCTAAACTTTGAGTATGTCATTATGTGAATGTGAGATTAAACGTCGCACAATGCTCTAAGACTTGCTAGTTGGCCCGATCCCGACAGATTTAATAATATTTTTTCATCGATGCACGCACGGAAAGTTACATATCGCTACAATAACCCAGGAGGAGCAGGAGGGTAGTGGCTGGGGCTAGGGATAACACCTACGACTCATTGTAGACCGAGTTTCGAAATTGGGTCCAAATGTCAGCTTTCTAGAATTAAGCCTTCAAAGATAGTTTGGTCCGTTGAGCAAGCATCTCCCATTTGTTTCGCCCATCGTCGGATATACGTCACTTCGGTGGCATAGAAACACCCCGGCCGAAATATTACGAAAAAAGTGGAATTTGTAAACAACCCCCTCTAACATGCGTTAGCTTTGAACGCAAAGTGAAAATTTTATCACTGAATAATTTTATATTTATTTACCAGATTAGTCCCCCGTCAACCGCCGGGACCTTCCTTTCCTGCGCAAGCTTTCTATCCTCCGCTATGGTCCCTTCCTCCTGTGACACCAACACCCTGGAAGTGACGCGTATGCAACACAATGGTGTTTCATACAGTAGAAGGGACACAATCATGATATGACGGTAGATTTTTCGCTTCCCTTCCTCATCCTCCCTTCCTCTCTCCACTGCCCTCCAGCTGCACTGCACCATGTGGAATGAACGGAAGTGTGCTAAGCAGGTGTTTATATAGCCCTAAGAGTGTTATCACAACTATCCTGCTACAAAACAACTAAATAACTTCGTATATCTCAAAAGTCCTGTAAACACTTAGCACTTACGATTTTTGTTACAGCGTTTGTTTATCCCATGAGCTTCCTTCTCACTCACTTCATTTTGCGGACGGACACACATACATACATACACACGCACACACACACACACACTCACACACACACACATACAGATACACAAACCGACACACAAAGTTAGCGCTTTATAATATAGTTACGAAACTCTATTCATTAGCATGAAGCAAACAAAAAGCAAATAATCCAAGCACAGCAAGATCCTCATCCATGGTCTTACCACTGGAAGCCGCCAACACTACCACTCGGCCAAGCCGCCGCTGGAAGCCGGTCTCCGCCGGAGTCTCTTACAGTGGCTTTCATTCGAAACAACCTCTTAACAAACAAAAAACGCGTATACGAGAACAATTAAAAGCTTACTGGGCAATTAGAACCTCCGTAACGCTTTCAGAGATTCTCCGAATTTTCGCAAAATATGGAGAGATGGAGCTCGGATATCCAACGAGATCCGAAAGCCACTCTCTGATATAGTTTCATTACGGATGGCCACCTTCGTCTTGACCTTCGTTCTTAGGGATCTTCGTTCTCGCAACATTAAAATCAATGGAGAACGACTAAAGCATCCGTTCGCATACGTTCTGCAAATGACCTGCTTGAGTTCTACTCTGGAATGGTACATTTAGAGAAAGAAATATCAATACGCATATGTAGTGGATTCCGCTGAACGTCGAAGGCTTGTCAATTCCAAATTAAATTTCTATTGTTCTCTACGTACTTTTATGAGCCTTCGAGATTATGTTGTTCCTTAATTTATCATTTATACGAGTTTAACAAGATCAAGGGGTAGAAAAACTGTTCTTAGGAGAAGTGTAGACCATTTTACTAATCCGACTTTCTGATAAGCCTACAGAGCTTAATACCCGCCAATAATCTTTGAAACAAAGTATGAGCCCAAGAAGGTGGAAATCAGAGAAACGCAAAAATTTGTCTTTAGTGGGGTTCGGACCACAAACCCTAGTTTCCACATGTTTTCTGGCATTTCCATAGCCGTTCAGAAGATCTTCAGGTTTATACTCCCTACACTAGAGCACCTTGGGAATATCGGTCGAGGAAATCCTCGACAGGGGGGTCGTACCTGTCGGGCTGGGTCATGAGGGGGTCGTACTCTT